CTTGTGGGGAGCCCTGCAGGCTGAATAACACATAGGATCTGCATGCACAGTTGGCCCAGGGCTGGCAGGCCCACAGACCAGCCCTGAGGTGGATCACCACTGGGTTGAGCAGCACTGGATACTGCACTAGTGCTTAACAGGAAAATATCCAAAATGCTGTATGTGCAGTTGTTTTACACTGCATAGACAAATCAGTAGGACAGAAAAAAACAAGATTCTATAGCTCCATGATTATAGGTACTCACCTGGAGGCACAGACCTGAATAATTACTTCAAAACACTTAAAATTATCTGGAGCAAGAACTGGAATGCAGATCTAGGTCCTGAGGCAAGTGCCCCAACCACATTGCTAGTCCTTCTTTAGTCCACTCTATACAATTATAGTACAGCGAGTACTTCAACCTTGAGTATAACCTATAGCAGTTTCTCAAGCCATGGTACACATACCCCCAGGGTTACACAAGACACAGGCAGGGAGTACGTGGGTGCTGCGTTTTGGTCTTTGCCTGCTTAGGCTAGATGTTCCAGCCACCGTCCCGTCCTGTCCCCCCTGCAGTGTCTGGTGAGCCGGGGCTTTCACTCCCCAGCATCGGTGTGCTGGGGGATAGGGAGGGAGGCCCCACGCAGGCTGCTTTGCCCTGGACCGTGGTGGAAAAAGTGGGACTCAGCTCGCGGCAGCGAAATAGGAAGTGCCACAGTGGGACTTACGGTTTTGATTTTGCTGCATTGATCGGCAGGAGGTGCACAAGGGACCAAAGGTTGAGAACCACTGACCTATAGCATGGATAGACAACCCACAGCATGGGGCCAGAGCATAGCACACAAAGGCATTTTGCTTGGCACATGTGCCTTGGGGTGAATGGCAGGGAAGACGCCAGGGCTGCGCTGCCACAACAAGGATTGGGTCTCTTGTGGCTCCCCGGCCATCTGCATGCCAACATCTGCCAAGTTGAGGTTGTGAGTGTTTTGGGCAGATTCTGAAGTGCCAAGGTATACAAGTCTTTCTTTAGATCTACCTAGTCTTAGGTCATGTTGTATTAATAACTAAATAATGAACTCTGCTGTACTGCTATGACTGCATGGGGCAACCTGCTGTTAGAACTGCTATTGGTTGATCACTGCAAGCTGTAGGCCAGTTGATGCAGTCATTTTTAAACAAATTTTCTTATAGTGGCCTCCTTCTCCAAATCTTCCATTTGTTAATTGCAGTCTGCCTACCAGGATAGATGCCTTCACTTCCCCAGCTGGCTAATTTTATAGATAACGTGTACTAAAGATACACATATTCAGCATGCCACAATTTAAAGGTTTTATAGTGCCTCAAGTTGTTACTTTTTTGGTGGGGGAAAAAGGGAGTATCATTTCACTTTTAAATTCTTATCTAACATAATAAAAGTGTTTGTCTGTCCGTAATGCCTTACAAGCACTCTGATTGGTTGTCTCTACAGCCAATCACAATGCTTACTGAAACAACCAATTGGAGTGCTCTACACAGCTACACATGGCAGAACGCTGCCATGACAGTGGGGCCTGAGGGGCAGAGGGGGATGATGGGACAGACTGGCACAGCAGAGCACCGCCATGACTGGCACAGTGGAGACAGAGGGAACGGAGTGGGAGCCTCGCCCCCTCCTCTCCCTGGCCTTGCTCCTTGGAGAGGGCAGTGGCACTGGCCAGCTTCAGCCCTGCCATCACGGCGGCACTCTGTCCCCAGCAAAGGGGGATGCAGGGGACAGTAGGGTCAGAGAAAAACACTTTCTGGAAAAGATGTAGTGAATTGAGCGTAAAGGTAAAAATGTCCTGTTTACATGTCATTGAGGCAAGGCTCCACTGTTTCTCTAAACTCAGCATGAGAAAGTGATAGTCAGCATCATGCTCAGCCTCCTTTACCACCAGATAGGCCTGTGCAAAGCAGCTAGGATTTGCTTTGGATTCAGATTCTGCCAATTCAGGGGACAGTGATTCAATTTGGTGATTTGAACCTCGGCCAAATTGATTTGGGACAGTATCTCCAAATCACACAGGCCTACCCCCTGCCTGCTCTCCCAGCCCTGGCAATGGCTGCCCCACCTCCCAGCACTTTGAAACCCTCCCCTCCCCACGTGCTGCTGTGTGGGGGGCAATCCCTACTGCCCCATGCTGCATGGGGGTGGGGGGGCTCTGCACGAGCCCTCTGACCCCCACCCCAATGCTGTACCATCCCCCACCATGGCTGCCCTGCTTGCTCCAGTTCCAGCCCTTTAAGGGAAAAAAAACCCAAAAGCTCACACTCACTGTTCCTGCCCAGCAGGGAGCAATCCCCGTTGCCCCCCGCCACATGGGTGGCTCTTCCACGAGCTCCACAAAGCCCCGAGGCTGCCGCAGGAGCTGGTGAGTCCCAGGATATTTTTTGTTTTTTTCCTTAAAGGGCCGGAGCTGGGGTAGGCAGGGGCCTGCTCAAGCAGAGCCCCCCATGCAGCATGGGGAGTGGGGATTGCCCCCCCGCCTGGCAGCACCTGGAGAGTCAGGGCTTTTTTTTAAAGCACCAGGAGCTGGGGTGGGCAGGGCAGCCATGGCAGGGTGCTGGGGGGGGCAGGCAAGGGATGGGGCCTGGCAGGGGTCCCCCCCCATTGTCCCCTCCCCTGCCCCTTACTTACCTGCTGAGTCCAGCTCCAGCTCTTTGCTGCAGCGGGTGGGGACTGCCCGAATCATCAAAGCTCTCCAAATCAATTCGGAGTTTTTTATTGGTCCCCGATTCGATTTGGATTTAGAGATTTAGCCACCAAATTAGGACAAATCTCCTCCAAATTGAGTCAGCACCTGAAGCTTCACACAGCCCTACCACCAGGTAGTTTGTGGAATCCATTGGAGAAAGGCTGGGTGGGCCTTAGGGCCACGCTAGAAGTGGAAATAATGAGTAAACACTCACAGCCTTTGCCTGAAATCAAACCCAGGCCTTTTTAATCTGTAGCCAGTCACCCTATCAGCTGAACTACATGACTCCCTGTACAGTGAATTGAAACTTACTGGCTTTACATTTAGTAGGTTTTATCACAGTAATTCAGTGATTGTCAGCCAGGGTGAACAGGGGTGCCATGACATCCTTTCAAGAGTGTTGCATAATATTACACTGTTACATGTGCAAACACTTACACAGGATTCACAAGATAAGCCTAGAGATTTCAAATAGGAATGCACACTTTCAAAACCATTCTGATCTGTTGTGGTTTTTTGCAACAGAACTGGTTTTTATTTTCCATAGGCAAGAAATAAGTAAAAGCTAAAAGCTAGCATTGTCTGAGAGGTGACTACAGGTAATAAGATTAGAACCACTGCAGTAAATGCACTGTTGCAGTCCTTAGCTGTTTATGAGAAAAGGGCATCAACAGCTCCTTCACAGTGAGGAAAGATAGCTGTCAAGAGGCAAGGCCTGAAGCAAGTGGTTGAATCAAAAGAAAAACAAGGTCTAGTCATGTGAAAGGATTTTCTATAGCAATTGCCTCCTGACTGAGCATTCTACCACACATCTTTATGCCCCAAGAAAAATTAATAGGGAAGGAATCATTACAATATTCTGAAGATGGGAGACATCTACATTTCTAGTTTAGCCTAGGGTGAGACAAGTGAAAAAACTACCTCACTTGAACTGTGTAAAGATAGAAACTCCTCTAGAGGCCAGGATAGAAGAAAGTATTGAAAGTACAATCTCAAAAATCCAGGAAGGGGGGTGGGGGGCAGGAGTAGGGATTACTGTATACTGTATTTACTCAAAGATAACCAGCCCCCCAAAAAAAGATTCATTATCTAGAAAATGTATACATTTGTAATATAATATTCCAAGTGTGGAATCTAAATATTGGAGGGTTGTCTTGAATTCATCCCCCTCCCACTGCTACTGCAGAGAAAATAGGGGCCAGAGGGATGAGGTCGCCCTCTTGCCCTCAGCCCCCTCCCCGCAGCCTTCCTGCCAGACCCTGATCAGGCTGTTCCCCCTGGGAGCACAACTGTGGAAGGAAGTGAGCACAATGCGGTGGGGGACAGGCAGAAGCTGCACAGGACAAACAGAAGGGGACAGGAGATTGCTGGGGGTCTGACTCTGACCCAGACTCTGGCCCTGACCCAGCAGTTGCCTTTCCCCCCTACCCCCCTTTAATTTGAAATGCAAGGGACCAAAAAAAATATACTGACTTCACAATAAACATACCCACAATAACTTACATATAGGCAAATTACTATAGGTAAATTCATCTAGAATTGATGTTTTAACTTGTTGCAAACTGCTGCAAGTTTCAGTACAGGTACACCATAAGCACACTTCAGAGCAGCACTTGTGTACTAGGGGTGTGCAAAACGAGCCGTATTCAAATTCGTATTTGGCCCGAACTGGCAACAGTGATTCAATTCATTGAGATCACTGTCCCTGATTCGATTTGGCCAAATCCCAAGATTCAATGCCGATTCAGAGAAGCAGCAATTCTGCCATAGACACAGCTTTAAATGTTTTGTCTACTACCTCGAGGTACTGTGGTTCATGAGCGCTGCAATGTTGGGATGTATGGAACATCCCATAGGAGTGCAGGGGGGGGGCCCCCCACGTGCTCAGCAGTGAACCTGGAAGTAGACCAGAAGTACTTCCAGTCCACTTCTGGGTCCACTGGGGAGCATGCAGGCCCCGCCCCCCCACCCCACCCCACCGGCTCAGCGATCAGCCATGGGGAGACCCCGGCTACTCTCCCCAGACCCAGGAGGCACTAGTTGTCAGGCCAGGGGGTATGGGAGGACCCCCCCCCCCATATGCTCCCCAGTGGACCGGAAGTGCTTCTGGTCCACTTCCAGGTGCACTGGGGAGCCCCCATGCTCCTGTAGGACATGTGCCCCAGCATCTCAGCATTCACAAGCCACCTGATACCTCAAGTTACATAGAAAAAACATTTAAAGCTGTGTCTATGTCTGAGTCTCCGAGTCAATTGGGAGGGTTCCAATTCAATTCGGAGAAATTAAAGGGTCTCCAGATTCGATTTGGATTCAGAGATTTGGCCACTAAATCAGGCTGAATCTCTGCCGAATCGAATCAGCGACCAAAGCTTCGCACAGCCCTATTGTGTACCTATTCATATATAGTACAAACTATGCATATTTGTCCAGAGCCAAAAGGCCCATGATTTATCATATAGCTACATGGCTGAGCCCCATCAGTCAACAGCATTTCAAGCCTTGGTGACCCCACAGTGCAGTGCTGCTCAGTATGCATCTGTTCTCCAGATACCTGCCCTTCCACCTGTGAGGATCCACATGCTAATTATTGCCCCCCAACTCACAACCGGAACTAAGTGTTGTCACAAGTCCTGGAACCCTCTAAAAATGTTTATGCAGATAAGGCACAGACCTACCTCATCTGTCTTCACTTCATAGAGGGCACAGCCACACTACTCACATGCAACAGGCTGAGAGGCTTTGACAGTCTCTCAGATACACAGAAGTTTGGAGATGTTTACCAGACATTTAAGGTTCGAAGAAGCAGGAATCATTGGAAGTAGGGGGAAAAAAAAAGGCACTGCTCAGGTGTGGGAGTGAAGAGGAAGGTGAAATGTATTTGATGTAGTGGTTCACCACGCCTTGAGAGTTGTCCCTGAGGAAGACTAAGCACAAAGATGGGCTGCACTAACCTAAATCTTGTCTTAGAGAGAAACCATAATCAAGAAGGTAGTTTTCCCAGGGTGAGGCCTGTCACTTGTACTCCAGGCAGGCTGACCCCTGCAAGTTTCCCCAAAAGCAGGAAACCCAACTGCAAAATTTTGTGGCAATAGGATACTGCTTTCTTGCTTTTCCCCTGGCCTGCACCCTAGCCTTTTGGCCACGAGCAAGACGAGGGGGCATCTGAACCCTGGGCTTGCATGTAGGATGCCTGCCACAGATTTGGGGAGTATCTGAAGCCCCACACTTATAGGTCTGGGAAGGAAGCTACTTACCTGGTGGTAGAGATGCACAGAATTGAACAAATGAGCTCTGCTAAGTCAAAATTTGGAACCTGACCATTGGGGGCTTTACCCAATAGAATTTGGAACCGATTTGGCCCTTAAAACTAAATTAAAAAAAAAAATTCCTGTAAGTTCCTATCACTGTGTTTGCCCAATGTGAGCCAGGCATTAGTTGGTTTCCATGACTAAATACTTGTTGCTTCTAGCAGCAGTTTAATGATAGATAATGTATTTAATTGAGGGAGGAAGGGGAAGGTTTGCTGGGATGTGAATACAAGATAAGGGGCTTTTTCTTCCCATGCTGAGGGGGAGGCGGGGGGAGAGGAACCTCACCTTATAGTTGAGTAAATAAGGTACCCAGGTAGAATGTGTCTTGTCACTGAAAACATTTCCATTGTAGCTGTCCATTTTATATGAATATGTGAAGCACTGAATATGATGCTACCTTTTTAAAATCACTGCAGTGGTTATAATAAAAGAAAAAAAGCAACCATTTTCACCTTGAGAACGTTTTGATTCTCTGTTGTAAATACCAAACCAAGAAAATAACACACTGCAAGCCAGCTTTAAAAAAATATCACAATGGTGATATATACATTTAGATCAGCTGGTCTCCAACTCCAAATATCTCAGTTTAAGAAAAACCTACATTTACATGCCTGGGTAAACAAACAGCTATAGACAGTTCCTGAGAACTCCTGTGAAAGATTTAAACCCTTCTCCAATGCATCATTCTGGCATCTCTTCGGTTCTATGCTGCATTTTTACCTATCATTAACTATTCAAGTCTTGTTTCCTGAAAATTAGTCCATGAGAAATCAGCAAAAATGGCATGTTTGAAGAAAACATAAGCAATTTCCCTATTCTCATGGTTTTGGAACTGGAAGAGGTGGTATAGATCAGCATTCCTCAACCTGTGGGTCATAACCCAAAAGTGGGTCGCAAGAATATATGAAAGGGCTGCAAACTTTAAAAATGGATTCTCCTTTAAAGGAGAAAAACATGGGAAACTGGCTTTTTCCTTGCAGGCTGGCAGAGCTCCAGCCTGCGAGGGGCTGCTTGGGGTCCTCCATGTCTCTGCCCCACACATTGGGGAGCTAAGACCTGGGGGCAGGGGGCAGTAGGTTGGGAGTGAGGGGCACTGGCTCGGGACTGGCCACTAGTGTTTAAAAATGGGTCCTGGTACAAAAAAGGTTGAGAATGTTAGGAGACAACACAAACACCTAATTGTTCTAGTAAAACCATTATAGGTGGAAATTTTTATAAGATTGGAAGTAGATTATTTCCAAAGCTTTGCACACAGAGAATCTAGCATGCATGTGTAGGCAAAATCTATAACTAGGTATGTTTGAAAATCAACTAGAAACTGCAAAATACGCAGTCAGATTTGAAAAAAATCCAAGAGAAACAATTAATTACTCTGCCCTTCAGACAGCTTTGCTATCCAATGATTAAAGCAATATGTTTTGGGCTGCCTATGCTAAAAAGCTTGCACTGGTCAATGTGGGGTGGGGGGAGGGGGTGGAACCCAGTTTTCAAACCAGATTTACGATAAGTTAACAAATCAGTAAATGATTGGATTAAACATCACTGATTTACATATAATTTTATACTGAGTTAAGTTCAAAGTGTGGCTAGCCCACAGGGATGCTATATCATGAAAATGTGGCCTCCATTCGGTACAGCTGCAACTTTTATTTTATATGCCAAGAAAAAGGGGGAGGGAGGGGGGAGTGGAAATCAAGCTTCAAGCGTACCCATCTCTTTCTCTCTCTCTCTCACACATGAGAAGAAAACTACCAATTTTAAATGACTGATATCATGGGCAAATCTCTGGGATAGCCATCCAGACTTTTAATCTCCTCGTAATTTTACATATGCAGCATTCAACACAGGCAATTCCACTCAAGTACTGCAGTCCATTTACTTAAATACACACATACACACACACACACACACACACTCTATGTGTCATTTCAGGTCATTTTTACTGTATCATTAAAAATTATAAATGTAATGAAAATGTTATCACAATGGTATCTTACAGCAAAAAAAAGGTCCGAGGCACTCCAGGAATCGAAGACATTTCCTGGTAAGTTTGGTGTTTAGTCATGCCCAAGATGGGTCCATGTCTATACATCACAAGCCCTCACATTCTACCAGTGCCAATAAGAGTTCAGAGCACTCAGTAGCTTGTAAGATCAAGCCCTATGGGACAAGAAGTCACAAGACACCTAGCAAAATGTGCATTTTATGCCCATGATTTTATGATTTGATTTGTCTTCATTGGTTTAATTTTTTTTTTTTTTTGCATTACAGTGGTATAAGGAAAACTGCAAGTGAAATCATTTTCATTACCAATTCAGAAAATAAAAATCTCAACAGACAACAAAGATTGAGAGGACCAAGGGCTTGAGGCTAACTCAACCCCACAGTTCTTGAAGTGATCTCTTACAGGTCAGGATCATAGCAAACTAGAAGAATGGGATGCCACAGAACTGGCCACTCTATACCCAGTTGTAGGGCATAGGCATTGAGTTTCCAAGGCTGCCTACCCACACGTTTTCAAACAACATGAAATTCACTTAAAAAAAAAATTTTAATTAAAAAAATACCCTAACACAGCAGCAGTATAGAAGATGTTTCCTATTTACTCAAACATTTAAGCATTCTTTTCAGGCAGTTTTCATTTGTCTTGCTGTAATGTCCTGCACCTTGCAATTCCCATCCCATAGCTACTCTGGATCTGTTTAGGAAACATGAATCAGTTAAAATACACTGGAGCCTGCAAATCATGTTTTTGTTTGGTTATTTGTTTCATTCCTTTCCCAACTTGGGTCTGAAACAGCAGTTTCACAGTGAACTTCCAGAGTACCATACTCTGCTAACCACTACTCCTCAGAGGGGCAACTCTTTTGGGGAAACAAATACAAAATAGTATTTTAGTGATCTCCCAGCATGGAACCAGCATTAACAATTTCCAGCAAGAGGAAGTAAATCCCACCAAAAGCACATGGCATCATCTATAGTCACAATCACAGCAGAGGTAACAACATAGAGATGGGACAGAGCTAAAATGTAAACTACTCTTGGCAATTTGCATTTTCTTGAGTATATATTTCCCCTATCTCAGGTCATAAACAAAACAAGGCCCAGCCTGTGAGAACAGTGTTTGCAGAAGTAGCTAAGCAGGTCTTTGGAATAGAAATCTTTAAAATCCCAGGTGCCGCGCACACACTAATAAAGGCAGGGCACACTGAAGAAATGGAGATACCTGGATACCCAAAACATCAAGTCCCCAGTGTGAAAGAAACCTGCATTTTCCAGCTAGTATCATGAGAGTGATAGAAGCAACTGCAGGCCTGATTAGAAGAAAGGTGCTAAAGAGGCAACTGAAGAAAAACAAACAAAATACAGTATGAGTGTCTTGGGTAGGAGGGAAGCGGAAAAAAATTTAAATTATTTTCTGCTTATTGACACTGGATCAAGTTCTTCAAAATATACACCAAATGCTGTATTCTGCTCTTATCTACAGTCAATGAGAACAAAACAAGTGATAAAATCCCCTTCTATCCGGTACGCTCAGTAAAATGCATAGTACAGAAATAAAAAGATCCTCCAGCTCAGTCTAAACTAACACTGGGACATGAAGTGAGGACGAGTGCTATCCAACCGCCGAGTTAAGATGTCACAGCCAGTATCTGTGACCAGAAGCGTGTGCTCAAACTGGGCAGATCTTTTTCCATCTCTTGTCACCGCAGTCCAGCCATCAGGCCACGTTTCATCTTGCCACCCACCTAAAAAAAAAAAAAAAAAAAAAATCACCACAAAAATTGAAGACTGTTCATGGATGTTCTATTTTTGTCTTGTCTGTTCTTACATTTATTAGAAAAAAATTAAAAATCATACAGAAGTATGCTAAGGACTATCACTACATCACTTCTTAAATTAATCCCTTCTTGCCACCATACTAACAGTGACTGCTATATATAGAAACACAAGTGTACTTTCAATCGGAAAAATATATGAAGGACAATAAATCAAAATGGCTCTTCAAACCCATTCTTCCCTCCAGTTACTGCACTCTTTCAGAGCTTATTCACAGTAGCAACCTCATCCTGTGATCCACAGCACTGAGTCCATGGGCTGTGTATACAAATCTGACTGGTAAGAAAAAAAGTGTTCTTTAGCTGTATCTAATTGTAGAGCATCGCTTTAGTCAAGGTTGATATTGCTTTTAAAGACAGTTCAATAAAATAAATAAATACATTAATGAAACTTCCCCTCCCTACCTATTCACTTTCCTTCTGCATTCTGGTAATACTGGTCATACTCACCATCATCTTGTGAAATTTTCCTACACTGTCTTATTCTGGATATTGCCAATGACACTGCCCCACCCTCCGATATTTGGAAGACTGCCTCTCTTCCCTCCATATCCCTCTTTCTCCTTGCTAGTAGTGGATCATCTCCTCACTGCCCACTCTCCCCATCTCATCTTGGCCCTGACAAGTCCTGCTCCCTGGAACAGGAAGAAAGAAGCACCAGTTTCCCAGAACCTACTCCATCAGTGGTAAGCAGCAGCCCAGCAGAGGGTGGGGATCCCTGCAGGGCTCCAGCAACAGGAACAGGGTGTGAAAGGAGGAAAAAAGAAAGAGAAATCAGGTTCCTGCAGGGTTCAGTAAGGACTGGAGTTTGGAAAAGTGCTTCTTCAGAACCCTCACAGGTAGGGTGCAAAGCATTACTGCTAGAAAAGGTAGGAAGGGCATGGGAAGTAGCCTGAGTCTGGTTGGACACAGGCTCCCCCACCAGCTCTGCCAGCCCTTCAGACAGGGCCAGATTAACGCATAGGCAAACGAGGCATGTGCATAGGGCCCTGAGCTGCAAGGGGGCCCAAGTTCTTCCGGTCCAGTGGCACAAATGGCCCTGTCTGCCTCCCTTCCCTTCGCTTCCCTTCACCTCCCCCAACCCTCTACTGGCCTCACCGCTGCGGCAGCTACTCCCGAGCAGTGGCTCTGAGCCAGTGTTGCCAAGTTTGCATATAATAAGCAGAGTTGGGCTTCTTTTTTTAAAAAGTTTCTTTGATTTTTAGTCACAGGTTGCGGTTTTTTGGGCTTTGTTTTTTTTTTGTTTTGTTTTGTTTTGTTTTTTAGGGGTTGCTTATTTTGGGGTTTTCTGCAATACAGTGGCTCCCAAACTGTAGGTCCTGGTTGCAGAAACAAGATGGGGTTGCAGAAGGGCCCAGCCCAGCCAGCATGCAGCTTTCAGGTGGGGCTGCTGCTGCTGCCCCAAGGACCTGCATGCCTTCCCCAGCCTCTGGCTTCCTCCGGGCACCAGGGA